CATGTTTATTAAATAGTCCTGACCATGTATGATGGAGGACATGTAGACATGACAGTGGCCGGGAATGTCTATATTGGGAGCCCCGTCCGATTAGTGGCAGTAGAAACTGCATGTAGTGGACACAATGATGTCACCTTGACTGCCAACTCCACCAAAGTAGGTCTGAGGGCATCTGGGCTGTGATTGGTGTTCAAGATCACATGACAGAGACAGGACAACCAGTCAGGTTATGGTGAGGGGCCAAAGAGAACCAAATATCCTCCACTAACATACTGTGAGCTACAGAACTCCATTATCACACAGTGATGAATGCCAACATCTCAGAGACAGTTTTGTGCAAGATGGATAAATAGTTCTATATTTAGCATGGATCCGGTCTATAAACCAGAGGCTCTGGATGGACGGTTGGATAAATGGTTCTATATTTAGGACGTATCCGGTGTATAAAAGGAGGCTCTGGATGGACGGTTGATAGATAAAATGGTTCTATATTTAGGACGTATCCGGTCTATAAACCAGAGGCTCTGGATGGACGGTTGGATAAATGGTTCTATATTTAGGACGTATCCGGTCTATAAACCAGAGGCTCTGGATGAACAGTTGGATAAATGGTTCTATATTTAGGACGTATTCGGTCTATAAACCAGAGGCTCTGGATGGACGGTTGGATAAATGGTTCTATATTTAGGACGTATCCGGTCTATAAACCAGAGGCTCTGGATGGACGGTTGGATAAATGGTTCTATATTTAGGACGTATCCGTCTATAAACCAGAGGCTCCGGATGGACGGTTGGATAAATGGTTCTATATTTAGGACGTATCCGGTCTATAAACCAGAGGCTCCGGATGGACGGTTGGATAAATGGTTCTATATTTAGGACGTATCCGGTCTATAAACCAGAAGCTCCGGATGGACGGTTGGATAAATGGTTCTATATTTAGGACATATCCGGTCTATAAACCAGATAAATGGACATATCCGGTCTATAAACCAGAGGCTCTGGACAGACAGTTGGATAGGATGGACATGACGGGGGGGGTTACTGGGTATAAGTAGAAAACAAGCTCTCGTTACCTCCTCTGCTGCCAGTTGCAGCAATGTCTTCTTTCAGCTTCCTCCCAAATCCCCTCTAACCCGGAACTTCTTGTTCTTACCACCCATTACTTCCTGTCTTTATTTTACATCACTTCCTGTCTGTGAGTTGTGCTCATGTTAAATAAGGTTGTCATGTTGTGGAGAATATAAATATGGCATCCTATGATGCATTCCAACGTTATGCCCGATGTCTGGTGGTGAACGTCTTTACGTTGCATTCTTTATTCTCATTATATCCGTTATAGAGGATTTATATGGTGCCGATGGTTTGTGAAGCACTTTATGAGGAGCAGGTGGTACAAGTACAATTATTAAGACCATTAGGAGGATTCTACTTTTGCAAATTTTACTTTAGTTCAAATCCAAACAATATACCAAATATGAAAGACAACAATTATTCGATCGTGTTTTATCATAGGTGATGGTAAAACGAAAGAAACGTCCTCTTTTCTCACCGGAGATTTGGCATGTTTCCGGTAAGTGCTCGTTGTATAGAGTAGAGGCCAGATATGAGTCCTCAGCCCTGACCAGCTGCTCACAGCACAGATTTATACTGCAGACTGTACCATTTACCTCCATCTCTGGAGGTTTCTACTACCAGTATTGTATATACACAGCTCAAAAAAATGAAAGGAAGACTGTTTGATCCGAGTCTAGCATCAAGTCGATGACACTCCTGGTATATTGATCTGGTCAGGTAAGTCGCAGAGGGGGTTGTTCATCAGTTTCAGATGCTTTGGTGTTCATGAAATTAACAGGTGCACTAGATGGGCAACAATGAGACAACCCCCAAAACCGGAATGGTTTTACAGGTGCAGGCCACTGACATTTTTTTCCCTACTCATCTTTTCTGACTGTTTTTCACTCGTTTTGCATTTGGCTAGGGTCAGTGTCACTACTGGTAGCATAAGGCCATACCTGGACCCTACAGAGGTTACACAGGCAGTCCAACTCCTCCAGGATGGCACATCAATACATGCCATTGCCAGAAGGTTTGCTGTGTCTCCCAGCACAGTCTCAAGAGCATGGATGAGATTCCAGGAGACAGGCAGGTTCTCTAGGAGAGCTGGACAGGACCGTAGAAGGTCTTTAACCCATCAGCAGGACCGGTATCTGCTCCTTTGTGCAAGGGGGAACAGGATGAGTCCTGCCAGAGCCCTACAAAATGACCTCCAGCAGGCCACTGGTGTGAATGTCTCTGACCAATCAGAAACAGACTTCATGTGGGTGGCCTGAGGGCCCAACATACTCTAGTGGACCCTGTGCTCACTGCCCGGTACCATAGAGCTGGATTGGCATTTGAAATTGAACCCTAGAATTGGCAGGTCCACCACTGGCGCCCTGTGCTTTTCACAGATGAGAGCAGGTTCACCCTGAGCACATGTGACAGACGTGAAAGGGTCTGGAGAAGCCATGGAGAACGTTTTGCTACCTGTAACATGGTTCAGCATGACCGTTTTGGTGGTGGGTCAGTGGTCTGTGGAGGCATATCCATGGAGGGACGCACAGACCTCTACAGGCTAGACAATGGCCCCCTGACTGCCATTAGGTATACCGATGAAATCCTTGGACCCATTGTCAGACCCTACCCTGGTGCAGTGGGTTCTGGGTTCCTCCTGGTGCAGTAGGTCCTGGGTTTCTCATGCTGCATGACAATGCCCGGCCTCATGTGGGGAGAGTATGCAGGCCATTCCTGGAGGATGAACAAATTGATACTAATGAATGGCCCCCATGCTCACCTGACCTAAATCCAATAGAACTCCTCTGGGATGTCATGTTTCGGTCCATCCGACACCGCCAGGTTGCACCTCAGACTGTCCAAGAGCTCAATGATGCCCTGGTCCAGATCTGGGAGGAAATCGTCCAGGACACCATCCGTGGTCTCATTAGGAGCCTCCCCCGACATTGTCAGGCATGCATACAAGCACATAGGGGACATACAAACTACTGATGACCACTCTGAGTTGCTGCAATGACATTTCACCAAAATGGACTCGCCTGCTGCATCATTTTTTCACTTTGATTTTCGAGGTGTCTTTGAATTCAGTCCTCTGTAGATCGATCATTTACATCAAATGATGGGGCGTTCTTACGTTCCTCACACATTACCCTGTCCATGTCAGTATAGAGATCCAGCAGGAGACTCCTCCCCATTGAGATCTGATGAGTTTTCAAAGTCTTCCTTTCATTTTTTTGAGCCGTGTATATCATGAAAGTTTATGTAGTCTGTATTAGAACCATTCTTTAGGATTTGCACTGCAACACTGTCCTCAGAAAAGACATTTGTTCCCTCAACAGTAACCAGCTCCTAGTATAGACATGCTTTTACCATTGGGGTGCACACACACCACATTTTCTTCTTTTAGTTCACATCAATAAACACTCTCTGAATCAAGAGATGCACCTCTTTCCGAAATAACTGTACTACAGTTCTCCCACCTCATCTACACAACATGTTCCCCAGATATTGCATCCTACTCTCACCATACTATGATCTGTGATTTGTTCCACCATCCACACTTCTTTGTCAAAAGAGAGAGCTGTCAGAGAATGTAGTGTGGATGGTGGGAGGAGAGCCGTCAGAGAATGTAGTGTGGATGGTGGAGGAGAGCTGTCAGAGAATGTAGTGTGGATGGTGGGAGGAGAGCCGTCAGAGAATGTAGTGTGGATGGTGGGAGGAGAGAGAGCTGTCAGAGAATGTAGTGTGGATGGTGGAGGAGGAGAGCTGTCAGAGAATATAGTGTGGATGGTGGGGAGGAGAGCTGTCAGAGAATGTAATGTGGATGGTGGAGGAGGAGAGCTGTCAGAGAATGTAGTGTGGATGGTGGAGGAGGAGAGCTGTCAGAGAATGTAGTGTGGATGGTGGAGGAGGAGAGCTGTCAGAGAACGTAGTGTGGATGGTGGGAGGAGAGCTGTCAGAGAATGTAGTGTGGATGGTGGAGGGAGAGCTGTCAGAGAACGTAGTGTGGATGGTGGAGGAGAGCTGTCAGAGAACGTAGTGTGGATGGTGGGAGAGAGCTGTCAGAGAATGTAGTGTGGATGGTGGACGAGAGCTGTCAGAGAATGTAATGTGGATGGTGGACGAGAGCTGTCAGAGAATGTGTGTGTGGATGGTGGAGGAGAGCTGTAAGAGAATGTAGTGTGTGGATGGGGGGAGGAGAGCTGTCGGAGAATGTTGTGTGGATGGTGGAGTGAGCTTCCAGAGAATGTAGTGTGTGGATGGTGGGAGGAGAGCTGTCAGAGAATGTAGTGTGGATGGTGGAGTGCTGTCAGAGAATGTAGTGTGGATGGTGGGGGGAGGAGAGCTGTCAGAGAATGTAGTGTGGATGGTGGGGGGAGTGCTGTCAGAGAATGTAGTGTGGATGGTGAGAGGAGAGCTGTCGGAGAATGTAGTGTGGATGGTGGGGGGAGGAGAGCTGTCGGAGAATGTAGTGTGGATGGTGGAGGAGAGCTGTCAGAGAATGTAGTGTGGATGGTGGGGGAGGAGAGCTGTCAGAGAATGTAGTGTGGATGGTGGGGGGAGAGAGCTGTCAGAGGATGTAGTGGGATGGAGGAGGAGAGCTGTCAGAGAATGTAGTGTGGGTGGGGGGAGGAGAGCTGTCAGAGAATGTAGTGTGGATGGTGGGGAGGAGAGCTGTCAGAGAATGTAGTGTGGGTGGTGGAGGAGAGCTGTCAGAGAATGTAGTGTGGATGGTGGAGGAGTGCTGTCAGAGAATGTAGTGTGGATGGTGGAGGAGTGCTGTCAGAGAATGTAGTGTGGATGGTGGGAGCAGAGCTGTCAGAGAATGTAGTGTGGATGGTGGGGGGAGGAGAGCTGTCAGAGAATGTAGTGTGAATGGTGGACGAGAGCTGTCAGAGGATGTAGTGTGTATGGTGGGGGAGGAGAGCTGTCAGAGAATGTAGTGGGGATGGAGGAGGAGAGCTGTCAGAGAATGTAGTGGGGATGGAGGAGGAGAGCTGTCAGAGAATGTAGTGTGGATGGTGGGAGGAGAGCTGTCAGAGAATGTAGTGTGGGTGGTGGAGGAGAGCTGTCAGAGAATGTAGTGTGGATGGTGGGGGAGGAGAGCTGTCAGAGAATGTAGTGTGGATGGTGGAGGAGAATTACCAGATAAGTTACACTATATTTTCAAAAGTTTTGTCCCCGCCCTCCCAATCATGTGCTTCAGGTTTTCCAATCCCCTCCATATCATGTGATTCGGGTGTTCCAATCCCCTCCATATCATGTGCTTCAGGTGTTCCAATCCCCTCCATGGACACAGGTGTATACAATCAAGCCCATAGGCATGCAGACTGCTTCTTCAAACATTGGTGAAAGAATGGGTCGCTCTCAGGAGCTCAGTCATTCCAAGCGCGGTCCCTTGATAGGTGGGCACCTGTGCAATAAGTCCATCCGTGAAATTTCCTGGCTACTAAATATTCCACGCTCAACTGTTAGTGGGATTATAACAAAGTGGAAGGAACTGGGAACAACAGCAACTCAGTCACCAAATGGTAGGCCATGTCACATGACAAAGCGGGGTCAGCGTATGCTGAAGCGCACAGTGCGCAGAAGTCACCAACTGTCTGCAGAGTTAATAACTAAAGACCTCCAAAGTTGGTGTGGTCTTCAGATGAGCCCAACAACAGTGCATAAAGAGCTTCATGGAATGGGTTTCCATGGCCGATCAGCTGCATTCAAGCCTTCCATCACCAAGTGCAATGCAAAGCGTCAGATGCCGTGGTGTAAAGCACGCTGCCACTGAACTCTAGAGCAGTGGAGTTGTGTTCTCTGGGATGACCAATCACGCTTCTCTGTCTGGCAATCCGATAGATGTGTCTGGGTTTGGCAGTGGCCAGGAGAAGGGTACTTGCCTGACTGCATTGTGCCAAGTGTAAAGTTTGGTGGAGGGGGGGGATTATGGTGTGGGATTGTTTTTCAGGGGTTGGGCTTGGCCCCCTAGTTCCAGTGAAGGGAACTCTTAAGGCGACATTTTGGACAATTTCATGCTCCCAGCTTGTGGGAAGAGTTTGGGGATGGCCCCTTCCTGTTCCAAAATGACTGCGCACCAGTGCACAAAGCAAGGTCCATAAAGACATGGAGGAGCCAGTTTGGGGTGGAGGAACTTGACTGTCCTGTACAGAGTCCTGACCTCAACCCCATAGAACACCATTGGGATGAATTAGAGCAGAGACTATGAGCCAGGCCTCCTCCCACGACATCAGTACCTGACCTGACAAATGTGCTTCTGGAAGAATGGTCCAACCTTCTCATAGACACCCTCCTAAACCTTGTGGACGGCCTTCCCAGAAGAGTTGAAGCTGTTATAGCTGCAAAGGGCGGGGCCAACTCAATATTGAACCCTACGGACTAAGACTGGGAGGCCATTAAAGGTCATGTACGTGGGAAGAGCGGGGCCAACTCAATATTGAACCCTACGGACCAAGACTGGGGGGCCATTAACCATTAGCCGCCCGGCCAATGGCCGTTTGGCGGCTTCAAAAGTGCTTCGGCATTCCGGGTGCACGCCATTTGGCGTGCTCCCGCACATGCGCAGTTTGCGCTAATGCGGAGCCGCGCAGCGGCACGATCTGTCACCGGCCGTGTACCTCGGACAAGGCCGATGACAGATCTAGTACCGGCCCCCGTTGCTGGTACCATGTGACCTGCTGTGACCAATCACAGAAGGTCACATGACAGTTGTATACAATGGATGGCTTCATTCATGCCATCCATTGTATACTAGTGCCTAGCTGTGAATGGTCACAGCTAATCACATGCACATGTCATGTGATTAGCTGTGACCAAATCACAGCTAAGCACAAAAAAAAAAAAAAAAACTGAATGAATCGATTTCATTCAGGTAAATGCTTGCTTATAGCAAAGTAATTATTTTGCTATAAGCAAATTGTGTAAAAAAAAAAAAAAAAAAAAAAAATACTGATCACTTCCCCAAAGTAGTACAATGTTACTATGGTAACATTGTACTACTTTGGTCATAGTAAAATATGAAAGAAAAATCTTAAAAAAAAAAAAATGTAATAAAAAAATTAAAAATAAAAAAAAAAATAAAAAAAATTTATATATTTTTTTTTTTCATACTGTCACCAGTCAGTGTCCCTGTTCACCGCCATGCCAGTTATATGATGACGCTGTACTGCACTGGTGACAGTATGTAAAAAAAAAAAATAGTGAAAATAATTTTTTTAATTTTTTCATTTTCCGAAAAATTATGACAAAAAAAATACAACTTCAAAAAACTCGCCATGCCTGTTATGAAGTACGTCTGACTGTCTACTCTGCAAAAAGGGGTCATTTGGGGATATCTGTACTGTTCTGACATTCTTGGACCTCAAGAAATTAGATTGGCAGTCAGTACTTCAGGATTGATCAATATTCAGATCTATACCATAGTTTGTGAACTCTATAACTTTCCTACAAACTAAATAATACATCCTAATTTGGGTTATTTTCACCAAAGACATGTAGCAGAATACATCTCGGCCTAAATTTATGAAGAACAATTATTTATTTGTAAACTTTGATAACAGAAACAAAGAAAAACGTGTTTTTTTTTCAAAATTTTTGGTCTTTTTTTGTTAATTTAGCAAAAAATAAAAACCCCAGCGGTGATTAAATACCACCAAAAGAAAGCTCTAGTTGTGTGAAGAAAATGATCAAATTTTAGTTTGGGTACAATGTTGTATGACTGCGCAATTGTCATTCAAAGTGTGAGAGCGCTGAAACCTGAAAAATGGCCTGGGCAGGAAGGGGGAAAATTGCACGGTATTGAAATGGTTAAAGTTCATGTGCGTGGGAAGAGCGGGGCCAACTCAATATTGAACCCTACGGACCAAGACTGGGGGGGCCATTAAAGTTCATGTGTGTGGAAAGGCCGGCGGCCCAATACTACGTGCAATATAGTGTATTTTGTGTTGGGGGTACTTTATATGTTTTGATTTCAAATGGGATACACTGTAGGTGACAAAGCTGAAGAATTCGCCAAGAGGCATTGATGGAAAAAAAAACACAATTAGCATTTCTTAAATTCGCCAAAAGATGGCGATCTCACCTATTGGTGGAATGCAAAAACAGGAAGTAATGTAGAGACAGGAAGTGATGTAATATAGTTTGACAGGAAGTAGTTTAAGGTACACAAAGCGTTTTTTGGTCACACATCAATTTAAGAGGAAGTAGAGAGGAGACATTGCTGGAACTGGCAGCAGAGGAGGTAATGAGATCTGATTTTATATTTACACCCAGTAACCCCCCTGTCATGTCCATCCTCTTCCTCCATAGTCATGTCCATCCTCTTCCTCCATCGTGTCCGTCCTCTTCCTCCATAGTCATGTATGTCCTCTTGTGCAAAATAGGTTTTGTCTCTGCAGTAAAACTAAGACCTGACCAGAGAGGTGAGGAGGATTCTGGGAGGTCACATGACATCACTCTTATCTCTATTAATAAAACACAGACCTGACCGGAGAGGTGAGGAGGATTCTGGGAGGTCACATGACATCACTCTTATCTCTATTAATAAAACACAGACCTGACCGGAGAGGTGAGGAGGATTCTGGGAAGTCTGTGGTGATAATTGTTACTTCCTCTCTATACTCAGGATTATAAAATATTGAAGGAAATATCTGGTGAGCCTTTATCACCCATCTTCACAGGACATCCCCCATCACAGTGCCTCCACCTCACTGCCTGACAACAGAAGGAACCAGTGCCTTCTAGAAGTCACCAAGAAGATCATTGATCTGCTGACAGGAGAGGTGAGCGGTGCCAGGAATTCTGGGACATTCTCCAGTAACAGACAAGGGATGTGTCTGGATGGTGACTGTATCATTGTGTGTGTCAGGTTCCTATAAGGTGTCAGGATGTCACTGTCTATTTCTCCATGGAGGAGTGGGAGTATTTAGAAGGACACAAGGACCTCTACAAGGACGTCATGATGGACAATCAGCCGCCCCTCACATCACCGGGTAAGAGGAGACTTTATTGAAAAAGAGAGAGCAGTACGGAGGGTCCACCTAGATCCCCCATCATCTGATAAACACATAGAAACAATGGATTCAGTCAGTGTGTGTGTTTCCTACAGATGGATCCAGTCATGGGAACCCACCAGAGAGATGTCCCCGTCCTCTGTATTCCCGGGATTCCACACAGGAAGGTTACACCATCCCACACCATCATCAGGTAGATGGGTCCAGTCATGGGAACCCACCAGAGAAATGTTATCGTCCTCTGTATTCCCGGGATTCCACACAGGAAGATCACACCATCCCCCACCATCATCAGTAGGTGGATCCAGTAATGGGAACCCACCAGAGAGATGTCCCCATCCTCTGTATTCCTGGGATTCAACACAGGAAGATCACACCATCCCTCACCATCCTCAGGTAGATTGATCCTGTAATGGAAACCCACCAGAGAGATATCCCCGTCCTCTGTATTCCCAGGATTCCACACAGGAAGATCACACCATCCCTCACCATCATCAGGTAGATGGATCCAGTAATGGGAACCCACCAGAGAGATGTCCCCGTCCTCTGTATTTCTGGGATTACATACAGGAAGATCACTCCATCCCTCACCATCATCAGGTAGATAGGGAAGTGGACATGTACACCTAAAAGTGCCGTCTAAGCAGTTATAATCTATCCCCCTATGTAATCTCTTGTTCCTTTTTACAACATTTTCTAATCCTAACCCCAGACACTACTAAACTACTCATTCACTCCCTTATTATCTCACGTCTGGACTACTGCAACTCCCTTCTCACCGGCCTACCTCATCGCAGACTATCCCCGCTTCAGTCTATCCTGAACTCAGCGGCCAGACTCATCCACCTTACCAACCGCTCCGCTTCTGCCACCCCCCTCTGTCATTCCCTCCACTGGCTTCCGCTTGTCCAACGCATTCAATTCAAACTACTAACACAGACATACAAAGCCATTCATAATGCTGCCCCAAACTACCTCACCGACCTGATACCCAATACCACCCTACCGGTAATCTTCGCTCCTCACAAGACCTCCTACTTTCTAGCTCCCTGGTCTCCACCTCCCACGCCCTGAAGAACTTCTCCAGGACTTCCCCCATCCTCTGGAACTCATTACCCCAATCCATCAGACTGTCACCTACCCTCCTCACCTTTAGGCGCACCCTGAAAACTCATCTCTTTAGGGAAGCCTACCCCGCCCTCACCTAACAGCCGATCTCCTCCACTCTTCCCACCACTCCATCCCCCACAGCCACTTCCTCCTGTACCACTATCCCCTCCCTCCTAGATTGTAAGCTCGAAAGAGCAGGGCCCTTGAATCCCTCGTGTTCTGTTTTGTTACTGTATTGTCTCATGTACTGTCCCCCACTATAATGTACAGCGCTGAGCAAACCTTTTAGTGCAATATAAATACTGTATAATAATAATCTTTGGGGTTTAGGTTGACGAACTGAAAGACATCAAAGCTGAAGTTAAAAGAGAAGAACCAATGTGTGTTAGGGGAGCTCGGCAATTTATGGAGGAGGGCGGTCACCTGTATTCCTTTTACTCTTTGAAAGATCCAAGCATCGTTCACCATGAGCAGGTAGATGGAACTGAGCAACCAGACCTCAGATTCTAAGCTAGGAGAGGACATCCATCTATGTACTTTCTTGTTCTCTCATCTTTTGGGGTTTAGGACACAGAACTGAAAGACATCAAAGTTGAGGTTAAAGTGGAGGAGCAGACGTTGGTGAGTGGAGATCAGCAGTCTATGGAGGAGGGGGAGATGATTATCAAAAGTAAACTTGAGGAATCTTCTCTACATATGGACAAAAGTAAGTAGTAAACACTAAATGCAGAAACAGTTCGCAATTTATCGTCTATGAGTATAAATAATGTGTTTACATGTTTACAAGCTTTGAAAAAAGGTCACATTTTTGCCCACAAAAAGTATAGAAGCCAGCAGTTTATGCAAGTGAGGGAAGAAAACCCAGATAAAATTTGGACCAATTTCCCCCAGTTTGGATAAAATAATTCCTGCCTGATTCAATCCGATCTGCGATGACTCTCCAGATCAACGTACCACAATGATTCTGACCATCTCCTAGACCATGGTTCCATGGAGCTTTAGGGTTCCTCAAGAGGCTCCTAGGCATTCCTTGAGCAATTTCAGCCTAACAGATAAGTTCCTACTGACACCATTGATCTTTTTAGCTATCTGTAAGGAGGTCATTCTTCTCAATGACCACAAGTGTAAGAAGCATTCTTCCTCAACTAGGGTTCCTTCAGCGGTTGCTAGGGATTCCTTGAGTTATGGGAAATTTCAGCCTCTCAGATAAGTTCCCACTGACACCATTGATCTTGCTCAAGGAACACCTAGGAGCCTCTTGAGGAAACCCTAAAGTTCCTCAAGAGGCTCCTAGGCGTTCCTTGAGCAATTTCAGCCTCTCAGATAAGTTCCCACTGACACCATCGATCTTTTCAGCTTTCTGTAAGGTGGTCATTCTTATTGACCACAAGTGTAAGGAGCATTCTTCCTCAACTAGGGTTCCTTCAGCGGTTGCTAGGGGTTCTTTGAGGTATGAGAAATTTCTGCCTCTCAGATAAGTTCCCCACTGACACCATCGATCTTTGTAGCTATCTGTAAGGCTATCATTCTTCTCAGTGACCACAAGTGTAAGGAGCATTGTTCCTCAACCAGGGTTCCATGGAACGCTAGGGTTCCTTCAGAGGTTGCTAGAGGTTCCTTGAGTTATGAGAAATTTCTGCCTCTCGGATAAGTTCCCACTGACACCACTGATCTTTTTAGATATCGGTAAGAAGGTAATTCTTCTCAATGACCACAAGTGTAAAGAGCATTCTTCCTCAACCAGGGTTCCATGGAACCTTAGGTTTCCTTCAGAGGTTCCTTGAGTTATAAGAAATTTCTGCCTCTCGGATAAGTTCCCACTTACACCATTGATCTTTTTAGCTATCTATAAGGAGATCATTCTTCTCAATGACCACAAGTGCAAGGAGCATTCTTCCTCAACTTGGGTTCCATGGAACCCTAGGTTTCCTTCAGAGGTTGCTAGGGGTTCCTTGAGTTATGAGAAATTTCTGTCTCTCGGATAAGTTCCCATTGACACCATTGATCTTTTTAGCTATCTGTAAGGAGGTCATTCTTCTCAATGACCACAAGTGCAAGGAACTTCTTCCTCAACTAGGGTTCCATGGTACCCTAGGGTTCCTTCAGAGGTTGCTAAGGGGTTCCTTGAGTTATGAGAAATTTCTGCCTCTTGGATAAGTTCCCACTTACACCATTGATCTTTTTAGCTATCTATAAGGAGATCATTCTTCTCAATGACCACAAGTGCAAGGAGCATTCTTCCTCAACCAGGGTTCCATGGAACCCTATGTTTCCTTCAGAGGTTCCTTGAGTTATGAAAAATGTCTGCCTCTCGGATAAGTTCCCACTGACACCACTGATCTTTTTAGCTATCTGTAAGGAGGTCATTCTTCTCAATGACCACAAGTACCATGCAAGGAACAGTCTTCCTCAACTAGGGTTCCATGGTATCCTAGGGTTCCTTCAGAGGTTGCTAGGGGTTCCTGGAGTTATGAGAAATTTCTGCCTCTCGGATAAGTTCCCATTGACACTATTGATCATTTTAGCTATCTGTAAGGGGGTAATTCCTCCCAGTGACCACAAGTGTAAGGATCATTCTTCCCACCGACCATCACACCAATGCATCATGAGTTGTAGATTTTTAGCAGGGGTACCCTAAGGCCAAGGGTTCCTCTGCACTGAGCAGGTTGAGAAAGGCTGGTCTAGACCAACGTAGGTGACTCAATGAAATACTTTAAAATATTTATAATGTTTATTTAAAACTTGTTTTCAAACCTATGTCTGGAGTCATCCTGAGGGACATCTTCTTTTATCTCTAGATTATAATGCAGAAGATCATGGCATCATACAATGTACTCCCGGAGTAAATCCCATTACTCAAAATGTAAGTCGTTCGGAGCGATCAATGGATCCCTCTAATCCTGAGGAACCTTCCTGTCAATCCTATACTATGGCTTCAGATGTCCACCTAAGATCAATGGTTCCTTCTAGTCCCGAGAAATCTTTTTATCAATCCAATACTATGGCTTCAGATGTCCATCTAAGATCAATGGATCCTTCTAATCCTGAGAGTTCTCATAGATTCCATACTATGATTTCAGATGTCCATCTAAGATCAATGGATCCTCCTAATCCTGAGACATCTTCTCATAGATTCCATACTATGACTTCAGATGTCCATCTAAGAGCAATGAATCCTAATCCTGAGGAACCTTCCTATCAATCCTATACTATGACTTCAGATGTCCATCTAAGATCAATGGTCCCTTCTAATCCCGAGAAATCTTCTCATAGATCCCATACTATGGCTTCAGATGTCCATCTAAGATCAATAGATCCTTCTAATGCCGAGGAATCTTCTCATAGATCCCATACTATGACTTCAGATGTCCATCTAAGATCAATGGTTCCTTCTAGTCCCGAGAAATCTTCTCATAGACCCCATACTATGGCTTCAGATGTCCATCTAAGATCAATGGATCCCTCTAATCCCAAGGAATCTTCCTATCAATCCTATACTATGACTTCAGATCTCCACGGTGCGGAGAGATCCACAGATCCATCTGATCCACAGGAACCTTCTTTAAGCCACGAAGGAGTTCGCACAGGAGAGAGTTCCTTGTCATGTTCAATGTGTGGGAAATCTTTCACTCACAAAAAGGCACTTCTTACGCATGTTCGAAACCACAAACGCGAGCGACCTTTTTCGTGCCCAGAGTGTGGGAAATGTTTCCCTGAAAAAAACTTACTTATTGTACACCATAGAATTCACACCGGCGAGCGTCCTTTCTCATGTTCAGAGTGTGGGAAATGTTTCATTAAGGTAGGAGATCTTCATAAACATCAGAAAACTCACACAGGGGAGCGTCCTTTTTCATGTTCAGAGTGCGGGAAAAGTTTTACTCAGAAAAGCTCACTTCTTACACACCTGAAAAGTCACACAGGTGAGCGCCCTTTCTCATGTTCGGACTGCGGGAAATGTTTCAGTCTGAAACATGTACTCCTTTATCACCAGAGAATTCACACAGGCGAGCGTCCCTTTTCATGTTCTGAGTGCGGAAAAAGTTTCACTCAAAAAGGACACTTTCTTTCACACCAGAGAATTCATACAGGTGAGCGTCCTTACTCATGTTCAGAGTGCGGGAAAAGTTTTACTCAGAAAGAAACCCTTCATAAACACCAGAGATGTCACACGGGTGAACGTCCCTATCCATGTTCAGAGTGCGGGAAATGTTTTACTCAGATACAAGCCCTTCATAAACACCAGAGATGTCACACAGGCGAGCGACCCTATTCATGTTCAGAGTGCGGGAAAAGTTTTACTGAGAAAAAAGTACTTCAAGCACACCAGAAAAGTCATACGGGGGAGCGTCCTTTTTCATGTTCAGAGTGCAGGAAATGTTTCAGTGAGAAAGGAAGCCTTCTTAAACACCAGAGAACTCACACAGGCGAGCGTCCTTTTTCATGTTTAGAGTGCGGGAAATGTTTTAGTGAGAAAGGAAACCTTCTGATACACCAGAGAATTCACACCGGTGAGCGACCTTTTTCATGTTCAGAGTGTGGGAAATGTTTTACTATTAAACAACACTTTCTTAAACACCAGAGAAGTCACACAGGTGAGCGCCCTTTTACTTGTTTGGAGTGTGGAAAATGTTTTAGTCAAAAAGGAAACCTTCGTAAACACCAAAGAATTCATACAGGTGAGGGTCCTTATACTTGTGTAGAGTGTGGGAAATGTTACACTCAGAAAGAAAGTCTTCATAAACATCAGAGTTCTCACACAGGTGAACAGCCTTTTTCATGCTTAGAGTGCGGGAAATGCTTTACGGGGGGGAAAAGGACTTCTTGCACACCAGAAAAGTCACATGGGAGAGCTTTCTTTCTCGTGTTCAGAGTGCGGGAAATGTTTCAACGAGAAAGGAAACTTCCTTAGACATCAGAGAATTCACACAGACGAGCGTCCTTTTTCTTGTTTGGAGTGCGGGAAGTGTTTTGCTGAAAAAGGAAACCTTCTTAAACACCAGAAAATTCACACGGGTGAGCGTCCTTATTCATGTTCGGAGTGCGGAAAATGTTTCACTTTAAAGCAACACCTTCTTACACACCAGAGAACTCACACGGGGAGCGCCCTTTCTCATGTTCAGAGTGCGGGGAATGTTTCGCATTAAAACAACACGTTCTTAAACACCATAAAAGCCACACAGGCTAGCGCCCTTTCTCCTCAAAACTTGCCACAGGGGTGCGCACCCTTTTCCATGTTCAGAGTGTGGGATATGTTCTATTATAACAAAACACAAGAGAATTCACACTCACACTTGTGAGGACTGTCTTTGTGTTTAGTGTGTGGGAAATGTTTTAATATAGAAAAAAAACTAGTGATGCTGGCTGCTGGGGGATGTATTGGCACTGGAGGGGATCTATTTTTGCATGGTGGTCTGTTGTTGCTGGGGAGGTCTGTTGTGTCTATTGTGTATATGGATCGAGCCGGCTGGATGCAGAAAGGACTGACGGTAATAAATGTACTGACCCGTCCAATCGGGAATAATCTGTCACCTTTCCTAATAAATTACTATTGGTTTCCCGTTGTTGATTTTTTTTTTTTTTTTTTTTTTTTTTTTTTTTTTCACAGCCCTGCTAATGTATAATTTTTTTTTTTTAATTTGATATTTTTTAACTTCAGTGATACAAAATTTGATTTTGTTTCAAACTTGGCTTTATTGCGTATTAATATGTTCTGATTTTGTAAAATAAAGCTACACTTCAAAAAAATCTGTTGAGTCCCTCCCTTTTTTTTTTTTCTTGGCTTTTCATGGCCCTGCATATGTATATATTTTTTTTATTTTACAATAACTTCAGTGATACATAATTTAATTTTGTTACAAACTTTTTCATGGCCCTGCCAACATGTATATATTTTTTTTTTATTTGATCTTTTTGAACTTCAGTGATACAAGACTTGATTTTGTTTCAAACTTGGCTTTATTGCGTGTCAATCTGTTCTTCTGATTTTGTAAAATAAAGCTACATTCATAAATCTGAGTCCCTCCCTTTTTTTTTTTTGGCTTTTCATGGCCCTACCAATGTATATATTATATATAATGGGGCACTATTCCTCCGACTGACACCAATGATGTGGCACTATTCCTCCCACTGACCCCAATGATGGGGCACTATTCCTCCCACTGACACCAATGATGTGGCACTATTCCTCCCACTGACCCACCATGATGGGGCACTATTCCTCCCACTGACACCAATGATGGGGCACTATTCCTCCCGCTGACACCATTGATGGGGCACTATTCCTCCCACTGACACCAATGATGGGGTACTATTCCCCCCACTGATACCAATGATGGAGCACTATTCCTCCCACTGACACCAATGATGGGGCATTATTCCTCCCACTGACACCAGTGATGGGGCACTATTCCCCCCACTGACACCAGTGATGGGGCACTATTCCCCCACTGACACCAATGATGTGGCAGTATTCCTCCCCACTGATACCAATGATGTGGCACTATTCCTCCCACTGACCCCAATGATGGGGCACTATTCCTCCCACTGACCCCAATGTTGGGGCACTATTCCTCCCACTGACACCAATGATGGGGCACTATTCCTCCCACTGATACCAATGATGGGGCACTATTCCTCCCCCACTGACACCAATGATGGGGCAGTATTCCTCCCACTGATACCAATGATGTGGCACTATTCCTCCCACTGACCCCAATGATGGGGCACTATTCCTCCCACTGACACCAATGATGGGGCACTATTCCTCCCACTGATACCAATGATGGGGCACTATTCCTCCCACTGATACCAATGATGGGGCACTATTCCCCTCACTGACACCAATGATGGGGCACTATTCCCCCCACTGACACCAATGATGGGGCACTATTCCTCCCACTGACACCAGTGATGGAGCACTATTCCCCCACTGACACCAATGATGGGGCATTATTCCTCCCACTGACACCAGTGATGGGGCACTATTCCCCCACTGACACCAATGATGGGGCACTATTCCTCCCACTGACTCCAATGATGGGCACTATTCCTCCCACTGACACCAATGATGGGGCACACTATTCCTCCCACTGACACCAATGATAAGGCACTATTCCTCCCACTGATACCAATGATGGAGCACTATTCCTGCCACTGACACCAGTGATGGGGCACTATTCCTCCCACTGACACCAATGATGGGGCACTATTCCTCCCACTGACACCATTGATAAGGCACTATTTCTCCCACTGATTCCAATGATGGGGCACTATTCCTCCCACTGATACCAATGATGGGGCACTATTCCCCCCCACTGACGCCAGTGATGGGGCACTATTCCTCCCACTGACACCAATGATGGGGCACTATTCCTCCCACTGATACCAATGATGGGGCACTATTCCTCCCACTGATACCAATGATGGGGCACTATTCCCCCCACTGACACCAATGATGGGGCACACTATTCCCCCCACTGACACCAATGATGGGGCACTATCCTCCCCCACTGACACCAATGATAAGGCACTATTTCTCCCACTGATACCAATGATGGGGCACTATTCCTCCCACTGACGCCAGTGATGGGGCACTATTCCTCCCACTGACACCAATGATGGGGCACTATTCCTCCCACTGATACCAATGATGGGGCACTATTCCTCCCACTGATACCAATGATGGGGCACTATTCCCCCCACTGACACCCATGATGGGGCACTATTCCCCCCACTGACACCAATGATGGGGCACTATTCCTCCCACTGACACCAATGATGGGGCACTATTCCTCCCACTGACACCAATGATGGGGCACTATTCCTCCCACTGATACCAATGATGGGGCACTATTCCCCCACTGACACCAATGATGGGGCACTATTCCCCCCACTGATACCTATGAAGGGGCACTATTCCCCCACTGACACCAATGATGGGGCACTATTCCCCCCCACTGACACCAATGATGGGGCATTTTCTACTCCCAGTGGACTAAAGTCTGAATGACAGTACACCAGCGGCCCTTTGTTTAGAAGTTTGGAGACCCCTGGGAGGGGTTATCTTGACTTTTTTTTTTTTTTTGCCAGTGGCCAATTCTTGCATTGTAACCCTTGAATATCCCTAAATATATTTGAACCCCTTCAGTACCAGTGTGTAGCGCCCCCTTCCTTTCCAGACTGTTTTTACAGTTTTTAGTGCTGCGATAGTTGGACTGAGAATTACTCTGCCGTGCAGTAGAGGGCCCAAGCTAGGTTTTCATATCAGGAGAAGAAGAAGCGGCTCCCGAAGCGCAAAAGCCGTCAAAAGCAATTTCTTTAAAAGATAAGACCATGTAAAAAAAACGCTCACATACTGTATATACAGCGCTACAAAAGTGTAGGGTGTACTTAAAGGGGAACTTCACATGTGCTGTGCTGCCATCTTTGTTCCTGGCATCATTCGGAAGCGAGTGCCTCTTCCTCCTAATCCCACAGCCAGCAGGTAGGTGACCTCCAGGGTGAGGCATAATATCCTCTCGGTCATGTGACTTGGGTCCCGGTCCATCCTCATTGAGGTAGTGGCGTGATCCATACAATTGTGTGTGCACAGGGCGTGCCAGATGTGCCTAGGAACACCCTAATCACCCATAGTTGCCAGATGAGATGACTCTCCTCCCCATACCATCTCCCCCAGCAGTTTCAGGTGCCCCCGCCTCTCAAGGAGGACTGCAGAAACACCCCCAAGGGGGATCCTGCCTCCTCCTTGCTTTCTACTAATACTGCAGTTCGAGTGGGCAGGATGGGGATGCACCCGACCTCTGAGATCACGCCCAGCTTGCCTTACTTTGTAATCCGAGTCCAGCATCAAGTCCATGAAACTCCCGGGATACGGATCTGGTCAGGTAAGTCACAGAGGGGGATGTTCATCAGTTTCAGCTGCTTTGGTCTTAATGAAATTAACAACAGGCGCACTAGATGGGCAACAACGAGACGACCCCCAAAACAGGAATGGCTTTACAGGGGGAGGCAAATATTGCCAAGTCAAGATGTGCCATGTTGATAGGCTCATACCCCAAAGAGTGCTGGAATCACATCAAAAGGGGGATTCAACAAAGTTTAAGGGTGTGCAAAGTTATGCAACCATATTATTTTAGTTCTTTTATGTTTACTTCATCCCCCCCCCAAAAAAAAAAAAAAAAAAGATTTCAGTTTGTTTTTCAATTGAGTTGTACAGTTTATAGGTCACATTGAATGTGGAAAAAGTTCTGAAATCATTTATCTTTGTCTCATTTTTTTTACATCACAGAAAGCTGACATTTTAACAGGGGCGTGTAGACTTGTTATATCCACTGTACATTATATTGCCAAAAGTATTGGCCCCGCCCTCCCAATCATGTAATTCAGATGTTCCAATCCCCTCCATATCATGTGATTCAGGTGTTCCAATCCTCTCCATATCATATGATTCAGGTGTTCCAATCCTCTCCATATCATGTGATTCAGGTGTTCCAATCCCCTCCATATCATGTGATTCAGGTGTTCCAATCCCCTCCATATCATGTGATTCAGGTGTTCCAATCCTCTCTATATCATGTGATTCAGGTGTTCCAATCCCCTCCATATCATGTGATTCAGGTGTTCCAATGCTCTCCAAATCATGTGATTCAGGTGTTCCAATCATGTGATTTAGATGTTCCAATTCCCTCCATGTCATATGATTCGGGTGTTCCAATCCCCTCCCAATCATGTGATTCAGGTGTTCCAATCCCCTCCATATCATGTGATTCAGGTGTTCCAATCCCCTCCGTGGACACAGGTGTATACAATCAAGCCCCTAGGCATGCAGACTGCTTCTACAAACATTGGTGAAAGAATGGGTCGCTCTCAGGAGCTCAGTGACTCCAAGCGTGGTCCCGTGATAGGTGGGCACCTGTGCAATAAGTCCATCCGTGAAATTTCCTGGCTACTAAATATTCCACGCTCAACTGTTAGTGGGATTATAACAAAGTGGAAGCAACTGGGAACAACAGCCACTCAGCCACCAAGTGGTAGGCCACGTCACATGACAGAGCAGGGTCAGCGCATGCTGAAGCGCACAGTGCGCAGAAGTCGCCAACTGTCTGCAGAGTCAATAGCTAAAGACCTCCAAACTTGGTGTGGCCTTCAGATGAGCCCAACAACAGTGCGTAGAGAGCTTCATGGAATGGGTTTCCATGGCCGAGCAGCTGCATCCAAGCCTTCCATCACCAAGTGCAATGCAAAGCCTCGGATGCCGTGGTGTAAAGCACTCCGCCACTGGACTCTAGAGCAGTGGGGGCATATTCTCTGGGGTGACCAATCACACTTCTCTGTCTGGCAATCCAATGGCCATGTCTGGGTTTGGCAGTTGCCAGGAGAACGGTACTTGCCTGACTGCCTTGTGCCAAGTGTAAAGTTTGTTGGAGGGGGGTATTGGTGGGGTTGTTTTTTTCAGGGGTTGGGCTTGGCCCCCTAGTTCCAGTGAAGGGAACTCTTAAGGCAAAATTTTAGACAATTTCATGCTCCCAACTTTGTGGGAAGAGTTTGGGGATGGCCCCTTCCTGTTCCAACATGACTGCACACCAGTGCACAAAGCAAAGTCCATAAAGGGACATGGAGGAACCCCACAGAACACCTTTGGGGTGGAGAACTTGACTGGCCTGCACAGAGTCCTGACCTCAAATGTGCCATAGAACACCTTTGGCATGAATTAGAGCGGAGACTGCGAGCCAGGCCTCCTCCCCTGACATCAGTGCCTGACGCATGACAAATGTGCTTCTGGATGGACGGTTGGATAAATGGTTCTATATTTAGGACATATCCGGTCTATAAACCAGAGGCTCTGGATGGACGGTTGGATAAATGGTTCTATGTTTAGGATGTATCCGGTCTATAAACCAGAGGTTCTGGAGTAAAGTTTGGATAAATGGTTCTACAGAAGATAAAAAACCTCCTCCCAAATCACCTCCAACCCGAAACTTCCTGTTTTTCCTATCCATCACTTCTTGTCTGTGTGTTTAACTCACATTAAATCAAGTCATTATCTTGTGGAGGATATAAATACTGCACCTCGGGTCATAACATCTTGCCCCATATTATGTTTTTTTATGTTGCATGCACTATTACATATGGAAAATGGACATCAATTAAAATGCCAACAATATTAAAAAAAAAACATTTGATATTCTTTTTAATATCCATATACAGTATGTGTAAAACTAAAGCAAAGTATATACAGGACTAAATTATATCTTTATATTTTTTTACATCATTATTACTGTACTTAGTGTGGACATCTTTAGTTTTGTATATTGGTCATGTCTTCCTCTTCTTGAGGTACCAAAGGTTTATTGTTGGCAACAAAACGTTCCTGAGCCCCTGCGTGTACATGGCTGGATATGCAGATTGTAGACCACGTGTAGGCTTAGATTCGGTATAATCATGAAATCATCCAATATATTCCTCACAATGTAGCCACACCCATCTAGGCTGCAACACGCTCCACACGCTGCTTGTCTTCTCCATCCCGGGGTGTCCTCCATTCTCAATTTCCAAAGTTGGGAGGAACTTTGTCTGACAGCTCTCCTCCCCCCATCATCCACATTACATTTTTCTCTGACAGCTCTCCTCCCCCCACCATCCACACTACATTCTCTGACAGCTCCTCCTCCCCCCACCATCCACACTCCTCTGACAGCTCTCCTCCACCATCCACACTACATTCTCTGACAGCTCTCCTCCACCATCCACACTACATTCTCTGACAGCTCTTTTCCACCATCCACACTACATTCTCTAACAGCTCTCCTCCCCCCATCCACACTATATTCTCTGACAGCTCTCCTCCTCCATCATTCACACTACATTCTCTGACAGCTCTCCTCCTCCACCATCCACACTACATTCTCTGACAGCTCTCCTCCTCCATCATTCACACTACATTCTCTGACAGCTCTCCTCCTCCATCATTCACACTACATTCTCTGGCAGCTCTCCTCCATCATCCACACTACATTCTCTTGACAGATCTCCTCCACCATCCACACTACATTCTCTGACAGCTCTACCCCCACCATCCACACTACATTCTCTGACAGCTCTCTCTCTCCCCCACCATCCACACTACATTCTCCGACAAATCTCCTCCCCCCATTCACACTACATTCTCTGACAGCTCTCTTCCCACACCATCCACACTAAATTCTCTGACAGATCTCCTCCCCCACCATCTACACTACATTCTCTGACAGCTCTCCTCCTCCACCATCCACACTACATTCTCTGAAAGCTCTCCTCCCCCCCACCATCCACACTACATTCTCTGACAGCTCTCCTCCCCCCACCATCCACACTACATTCTCTGACAGCTCTCCTCCTCCATCATTCACACTACATTCTCTGACAGCTCTCCTTCCATCATCCAAACTACATTCTCTTGACAGCTCTCCCTCCCACCAACCACACTACATTCTCTGACAGCTCTACCCCCACCATCCACATTACATTCTCTGACAGCTCTCCTTCCACCAACTACACTACATTCTCTGACAGCTTTCCTTCCACCAACCACACCTACATTTTCTGACAGATCTCCTCCACCATCCACACTACATTCTCTGGCAGCTCTCTTCCCCCCCATCCACACTACATTCTCTGACAGCTCTCCTCCCCCACCATCCACACTACATTCTCTGACAGCTCTCTTCCCCCACCATCCACACTACATTCTCTGACAGCTCTCCCCCCACCATCCACATTACATTCTCTGACAGCTCTCTTCCACCATCCACACATTACATTCTCTGACAGCTCTCCTCCCACCATCCATGCTACATTCTCTGACAGCTCTCCTTCCCCCCCACCATCCACACTACATTCTCTGACAGCTCTCCTCCCACCATCCACACTACATTCGGACAGCTCTCCTCCCCCCACCATCCACACTACATTCTCTGACAGCTCTCTTCCACCACCATCCACACTACATTCTCTGACAGCTCTCTCCCCCCACCATCCACACTACATTCCTTGACAGCTCTCCTCCCACCATCCACGCTACATTCTCTGACAGCTCTCCTCCCACCATCCACACTACATTCTCTGACACCTCTCCTCCCCCACGATCCACACTACATTCTCTGACAGCTCTCCTCCCCCCCCCCATCCACACTACATTCTCTGACAGCTCTCCTCCCCCCACCCATCCACACTACATTCTCTGACAGCTCTCCTCCACCATCCACACTACATTCTCTGACAGCTCTCCCCCCACCATCCACACTACATTCTCTGACAGCTCTCCCCCCACCATCCACACTACATTTTCTGACAGCTCTCCTCCCACCATCCGCACTACATTCTCTGACAGATCTCCTCCAGCATCCACACTACATTCTCTGACAGCTCCCCCCCACCCCCTATCCACACTACATTCTCTGACAGCTCTCCTCCTCCATCCATCCATACTACATTCTCTGACAGCTCTCCTCTGACCATCCATCCAAACTACATTCTCTGACAGCTCTCCTCCCACCATCCACACACTACATTCTCTGACAGATCTCCCCCCACCATCCACACTACATTCTCTGACAGCTCTCCTCCTACCATCCACACTACATTCTCTGACAGCTCCCCCCCCCCACCATCCACACTACATTCTCTGACAGCTCTCCTCCCATGATCCACACTACATTCTCTGACAGCTCTCCTCCCCCCCCATCCACACTACATTCTCTGACAGCTCTCCTCCCACGATCCACACTACATTCTCTGACAGCTCTCCTCCCCCCACCATCTGCACTACATTCTCTGACAGATCTCCTCCAGCATCCACACTACATTCTCTGACAACTCTCCTCCCACCATCCACACTAAATTCTCTGACAGCTCTCCTCCCACCATCCACACTACATTCTCTGACAGCTCCCTCCCACCATCCACACTACATTCTCTGACAGCGCTCCTCCATCCATCCACACTACATTCTCTGACAGCTCTCCTCACCCCACCATCCACACTATATACTCTGACAGCTCTCCCCCCCACCATCCACACTATATACTCTGACAGTTCTCCTCCCACCATCCACACTACAACAGCAGCTAAATGTTTTGTGATGTTTTTAGTTATATTTGCTCACTAGCAGGATAGGGGAACCTTAGCATTGTGAGTTTCTCTGGTGTCTAAGAAGTTTTGCATTTGCAATAAAACCCTTCCCGCACTCTGAACAGGAAAACGGAAGCTCACCTGTGTGACTTCTCTGGTGTATAATAAGTTTTTCCTTTCTCAATGAAAGATTTCCCGCACTCTGAACATGTGAAAGGGCGCTCGCGCGCGTGTGAATTATCTGGTGTTTATGAAGGGTTCCCTTCTGAGTAAAAGATTTCCCGCACTCTGAACATGAGAAAGGACGCTCACCCGTGTGAGTTCTCTGGTGTCTAATAAGTTCACTTTTAACAATGTATGACTTTCCACACTCCGAGCACGAGAAAGGACGCTCTCCTGTGTGATACTTCTGGTGTGCAAGAAGAACCTTCTTATCTGTAAAACATTTCCCACACTCTGAGCATGAATAAGGCCTTTCACCTGTGTGAATTCTCTGGTGTATACGAAGGTCTCCTTTCTGCGTGAAGCATTTCCCACACTCTGAACATGAATAAGGACGTTCACCTGTGTGGATTCTTTCATGTCTAACAAGATGTCCTCTGTCAATAAAACATTTATGGCATTCTGAACACGAGTAGAGAGAGATGCTCACCCGTATGCAATCTCTGGTGTTGGCGATGTGTTCTTTTTTTCGAGTAAATGATTTCCCACACACTGAGCATGGTAACAAACTCTTCACTTTGTGAACTCCTTCATGCCTTAAAGAAGATTCCTTGGGATTAGATGGATCTGGTGAACTATATGCGCTATCTAGAGTAACACAATGTGATCTATCAGACGACTCCTCAGGATTAGAGGATCCATCGAAGTGTGAAAAGGGTAAGGTAGGTGATGCATTCTTTGATTAATGCTATGATCTCCAGGTGCATATTGTACCATGCGATTGTCTTCTCCATTAATATTTGTACAAATAGGATATCTCTCCTTGGTATTCCAGGCATAACATCCATCTGTTGGAAAACAATTTAAAAAAAATGATTGTCACAAGTATTCCTCGTTTAAAGCTTCCAAGTGTTATATTCTGTAAATTGGTCCAGCTACTGAGGAATGGAGATGAACCTTTCATATGGTGTACAGTATCCCCTCCTCATTTGTTGGGAACAACATGACTGTATATTGAGGAATGGAGATGGACCTTTCATATGGTGTCCAGTATCTCCTCCTCATTTGTTGGGAACATGACATTATATTGAGGAATGGAGATGGACCTTTCATGTGGTGTACAGTATCTCCTCATTTTGTTGGGAATATGACGTTCTATTGAGGAATGGAGATGGACCTTTCATATGGTGTCCAGTATCTCCTCCTCATTTGTTGTGAACATGACGTTATAGTGAGGAATGGAGATGGACCTTTCATATGGTGTCCAGTATCTCCTCCTCATTTGTTGGGAACATGACGTTATACTGAGGAATGGAGATGGACCTTTCATACGGTGTCCAGTATCTCCTCCTCATTTGTTGGGAAACATGACGTTATATTGAGGAATGGAGATGGACCTTTCATATGGTGTCTAGTATCTCCTCCTCATTTGTTGGGAACATGACGTTGTATTGAGGAATGGAGATGGACCTTCCATATGGTGTACAGTATCTCTTCCTCATTTGTTGGGAACATGACATTTTACTAAGGAATGGAGATGGACCTTTTATATGTTGGTCCAGGTTGCTATTCAATTGCCTTTTGGGAACAGGAAATAATTCTTTATGTTCTTTAGAGAATATTGGGTCAAACTTTATAAAAATTTTTTTTATTTTTTTGGTGTGAATTTGATGGACAACTTTTTATTCACCCCCTAGTAAAGTAAATACATATTTTCTACTTATTAAAGAACAATAAAAATGTGAACAGTTTCTGAATTTAGTGTTTATGACTTACTTGCTTCAATATGTAGAGAAAGTTCCTCCGGTTTACTTTTCATAATAATCATCTCCCCCTCCTCCATAGACTGCTGATTTCCACTCACAAACGTCTCTTCTTCTTCTTCTTTAACCTCAACTTTGATGTATTTCAGTTCTTCTTCCTAAACCCCAAACATTATAGAATACATTTATAAAGAGTAACCAGATTACATAAAGGAACCTTCTTTTAGCTTGGAATAATTTATTTTGCTCAATCCCATCTACCTGAAAATGGTGGGGGATGGTGTGTGATCTTCCTGTGTGGAATCCTGAGAATACAGATGACCACTCCCTTCCATAGACTGTTGATCTCCATACATGAATTTCTCATCATCTTCTTCCTCTTTCACCTCAATTTTGCTGTCTTTCAGTTCTGCAACCTAGCCCAAAAATGGTAGAATACATCGGTAAAAGGTAAAAAAAAATTCCATAGTAAAATGTCCTCTCTCTTAGCTGAGAATTCTTTTTCAGGATCTATTTGTTCACTGTCACCTACCTGATGATGGTGAGGGATGGTGTGACCTTCCTGTGTAGAATCCCGGGAATACAGAGAATGGGGACATCTCTCTGGTGGGTTCCCATGACTGGATCCATCTACCTGATGATGGTGAGGGATGGTATGACCTTCCTGTGTGGAATCCCGGGAATACAGAGGACAGGGACATCTCTCTGGGGGGTTCCCATTACTGGATCCATCTGCCTTATGATGGTGAGGGATGGTGTGACCTTCCTGTGTGGAATCCCGGGAATACAGAGGACAGGGACATCTCTCTGGTGGGTTCCCATTACTGGATCCATCTGTAGGAAAACACACGCACTGAATGAATCCATTGTTTCTATGTGTTTATCAGATGATATGGGGGATTCTAGGTGGAGCCTCCGTACTGCTCTCTCCTTTCCAATAAAGTCTCCTCTTACCCGTGATGTGAGGGGCGGCTGATTGTCCATCATGACGTCCTTGTAGAGGTCCTTGTGTCCTTCTAAATACTCCCACTCCTCCATGGAGAAATAGACAGTGACACCCTGACACCTTATAGGAACCTGACACACACAATGATACAGTCACCATCCAGACACATCCCTTGTCTGTTACTGGAGAATGTCCCATAAACTCGGCTCCCTTGGTCAACACCTTCAGAATCTTTGTAGACCTCCTCTCCTGTTCATACGGCCCACTGTCATACCTTGAATACTCTTTTCCCACATATCTTACCTATGAAATCTGTTCTTTGACAGCATTTTTATTATTCCTAACCTTGCCTATTCTGTAAAATGCATACAATTGCTAATCCTAATAGAACATAAAATCTTATCACCTCCTCTGCTGCCAGTTCAAGCAAGGGCCCCTCTCTACTTCCTCCTGACTCACCTCTCACCCGGAACTTCCGGTCTGTTGCATCACTTCCTGTCTTTGTGTGCCACTTTCAGTAAAAGCCATCTTTTGGAGATCTTTAAAAAAATTCAGGCTTACGGTTCAACACTTTACCGGTGTCCCTTGTGGTGCATTCTTCCAATGTATTGCATATTTATGCACGCTTTATGGTTTCAGTAAAGTCCACGCACAAAAAAATAACCCCAATAATTTTATTGTATAACTATTGTGAAAAATTTCAATTAGAATACAACGTTTTTTTTTTATTGTAGCACTTCCTCCTTAGGAATCGCTAGAGTTTTTGGGTCCCCTTATAGTCCTGCCCAGCCAGGCAACACACATTTCATTCCAGCCTCACACTCCAGCGACAGTAAACAGTCCTTGAATTAGTTTTTTTTGTGATTTTATTAAAGGGTTGATAACTTGGATGGGGACGTGGGGTACATGGGATGCCCAAGGAACTGTTCAACTGAGGACAATTTCATGGAACTATATGACAAATGCTCAGAAGGCTTTCTCTTCTTTGGAGAGCTCTCCAGACTCCCCTTGTGTACCACCCTCAGACCGCAGATGAAATTTCCTCTTCACCCAGCTGCCTGAAGGAAACCCTGGCCAAGGGGACCCAGAATCTGCCACTTGAATATCAGCAGTCCCAGATGCGTGCTAGTCAGGTTTCCTATCAGAATGCCCTTTCCTCTTATCTGCCCCAGGGGTGCGGGGTCACTCGGTCCTCTCCTGATAGCTTGTGGGTTGGTGGTTGCCTTCAGGCCTTATGCTAACCTGACTCCGTCCCTGCTTCCCAGGCTGTCCTCTCTCGGTACAGTTGAGACTGAAAGAATCCTCCCTTCCAGCTCCTCCACCTGTAGGTAGGCCCCCTCCTCCCAGGCTCCATATTCCATCCTGCTCAATCCATCATCCACCCGAACTTTCCTGCTACTAAGCAGGCTCAGTCACTCTTAAGGGCTGAGGACAACTTCCTGGAACTATGGACAAGTGCTCAGAAGGCTTTTTCTTCTTTGGAGAGCTTTCCAACCTCCCTTTGCATACCACCTCAGACCCCAGATGAAATTTCCTCTTCACCCAGCTGCCTGAAGGAAACCCTGGCCAAGGGGACCCAAGAATCTGTCACTTGAAGATCAGCAGTCCCAGATGCAGGCTAGTCAGGTTTCCTATCAAATGCCCTTCCCCTTATCTGCCCCAGGGGTGTGGGGTCACTCGGTCCTTTCCTGATAGCTTGTGGGTTGGCGACTGTCTTCAGGCCTTATGCTAGGCTGACTCTGTCCCTGCTTCCCAGGCTGTCCTCTCTCAGGGGACTGTTGAGACTGAGATATCCTCCCTTCCAGCTCCTCCACCTGTAGGTAGGCCCTTCCTCCTAGGCACCATATTCCATCCTGCTTACTCCATCTTCAACTTGAACTCTCCTGCTACTAAGCAGGCGCAGTCACTCTTAAGGGCTGTCCTGACCCCATGCCAAGCCTCCTGCTTGGGGATTGGTAAGAATCCCTGAAGAGTGCAGACCAACTCCTCCTCACCCCCGCCCATTGAGTTCTAGAGACATTCTCCAAGTCTCTAGATCAGGGAGAGGTATCAGTGAGCAGATCTGCAGAGCCTCTCAGTCCTGACCCAAATTTTCACCCCCTCTGTCTATTTCTCCTCGGCTGCCACTCAGCCTTGTAACTAAAGAAATAATCATCTAGCTCCCACTAGCTAGCTAGGACGGTGCTGCATTATTAAAAGACCTCGACCACACAGGGCTGACTATATACTGATTTCCTGACAAAATTTAAAAAAAAAAATTGTGAAAGTGAGCGCTAATTGATAAGCTGCTGAATACACCAAAGAGATACCAAATACTCCTTCAAAATATAAAAATTAAATATAGATGGTGCAGCGCTGGGACAATAGCAATATATAACAAAGAAATAGCAAAGATAAAGATAAGCACTATATATTAAGGTATGAAATTAAATACATATAGGATATGAACTGAAAAGTGCTGATACAAAGTGACAATGTGCATCAGATATGCATGAAACTTATAATAATAAAGTGATCAAAGGTGCGTATAAGTGAAAACGTCCTTTTATAAACGTGAAAACTCATAATCCAGGTGATCATGCAGAATTCTTCTGGTGTGACACAAATGATAAAATCACGCACTCACCAGATGCGCAATTTTATAGCGCATAAAAATATATATCTCTCATGAAGTCAGCTGGATCATCAGGGAA